CCTCGCCTCGCCCGCCCGTCGATCACGCGCGGCCCGCGGACACGCTCTCCTGGCCCCATCCTCGTCGCTGCGCTCGCCGCTACACTCTCGCGCTGGCGCCTGGCCGCGCATCGCTCGCCCGCGTCGGCCGGCCGCGCATCGCTCGCCCGCGTCGGCCGGCGACGTTCACCGTCAGACGTTCACCGTCAGACGTTCACCGTCAGGCGTGCGGCCCGTAGGACGCCTCTGCGCAGAGAGAATGCTCGGCCGCCTTCCCGCCGCTGACGCCGTGGCGCTTCACAACGCGATCCACGCCAAGCCGCTGCCGGCCACGGTGACAACCTCCTACGGCGACCTGCCAATGGAGGCCAACAAGTACGGAAACGGCTCCGTTCTCATATCCACTGGCGCGTTCGCGTGCCGCGTCGTCGGAGCAAATCCCGAGAAGGACTCAAAGTACGGGCGAAAGATGCAGACCGGCGGCGCCGTGTCCCTCATCAACCCCAACCAGACCAAGGGATGGGAGGCGCGCTGCATCGTCATCGAGTCCCGCGAGCCGGGCAGTCCCGCGAGTGAGAGCGATGCCAGTAGCACCGATTGAACTCTCATCCGAGTAGATGTGCTGCGAGCGCGTGAAGTGCTTCTGCGCCTGCCCCGTACAGCCGCACTCACAGAGTCTCCTCCCCCCCTCGCCCCCGCGCAGCTGTGACGCAGAACAACGTGCAGACCTTCGTCATCGACGACGCCGACGGGCTGCTTCCGCCAAACGACCCGGCGCGCATGGCGGACGAAGCCACCCCTGCCAAGAAGAAGCCCAAGGCAAAGAAGGGGTCGTCGATCCAGCACGTCGAGCTTGCAAAGACCGGACGAGCCAAGTGCCAAATCAGCGGGAAGCAGATCGAACGTGGCGAGCTGCGGCTCGGCGTGGACTCGAACTACCGCGGGCACGTGTCCGTCAAGTGGCTGGACCCCCGCTCCGTCAAGCAGGAGATCGATGACTACGCCGGACTCGAGCAAGACCTCACGAGCCTCACCGGCTGGGCGGAGCTCGCACACGAGAAGCGCGCCGAGCTGTGCGCCATGCTCGGCTTCTCCGTTCCGGACGAGGCGGGCAGCCCGTCGACCTCGGACAGCCCGTCGACCTCAGACAGCCCGTCAACCTCGATGGCGGGCTTCGGAAAAGACCTCGCGCTGTGCGTCCCTGTGTCCGTCAACCTCGGAGGCGCGACGCTCTCTCTGGAGGCACGGGTGCTGCAGGGCGGGGCACCGCCTCTCCCGCCGCTCCGCAACGCGCAGGCGCCCGCACCGGCGGCGCTGGGCGCGGGCGCGGCGAGCAAGGCGCACGCGGCGGACTACTCGCAGCCGTGAGCCCGGGCGAAGCTGCTCTGAGACTGGCGGAGACGGGGAAGGGAGCGCACAGGCCCCCTCGTGCTTCGATGTCAATCTCACACACGTCATTGGAGACTTTGGTCTTTGCGGCTTTCAGTGACTGAGCCTGCTCTGTGTGGGGACGTCCGGGGCGGAATGCGCGGCGTTGTTTCCGTGGCCCCGGCCCCGCAGCGGAGCACCACGGACATTTCCTACCCTTCATGTCATCCTCCGAAGTCGTTCCCTCCGCCATGGGACCCGCACACACTCTTGGCTCTTGCGCCGCTCTTCTGTGTGTCTGAGAGAGAGAGATTTTTGAAAACCAACAAGAACTCACGACTCTCACTTCTGTGCCGCTGTCCTGTCCGGCATTGCGGTTGTGTTATCATTTGCTTGTGTCTGACTCCCTACGGGGAGAGCCACGTGTACATGCCACTGCTCTGAAGTGAATGGAACCGCAGTGTCCAGTTACCACAGCGCGCACCAGTGACGCATACGTGTGCGCCATGGCGTGCGCGCCCCGGCGCTGCTCGTACACCTTCACGCTGTCTGTGTCAGGCTTTTTCTGATTTAATACTCTGTAATCTGATTCTTCTCAGAAATTCAGGGTGCACACAGAGGGGGCTTTTCGCATTTCGGAAAGGGCTTTTTTTGGTGGGAGCGGCCGCACATTGCTCGGTACCCCCCCTGCACATCTAAAGCCATCCCTGCTGCTAGGGGGGGGGGTCTGACCCCCCCAGCAGCAGAGCGCTGCTGCTGGGGGGGCGGGGGGGTCGGCCATGGCTTTAGATGTGCAGGGGGGGTACCGAGCAGTGTGCGGCCCCGGCCGCTGGACCGTGGACGTTGGTGCGTGGTGTATATTGGATTATATGCTTTATGGATACTGCACTCTTATCTCTTTGACTTTCCTCTTCGTCTTTCGACGGTGCAATTTCTTTTTAATTACACGTTTGCATTTGCCGCGCCAACCACCGCGATGACGTGTACGTCACCGTGTGGCGTATGCACGGACGGCTCCCGGAGCACAAGGGTACGCACGAGCCACCGACGCTGCGCCGGAACTCCTCTCCCCACCCTACAGTACCTCTGCGCCGCGGCGCCGCCGCCCGCCCGCCCCCTATTTGCCCTGTACAAAGTCGGGGTCGATGAGCGCGATGTACGCCGCCGCCTGCTGCAGCATCCCGTACGAGAAGCCCTCGAGCCGGCCGCAGTGCGAGCCGCGGTGACCGAGCACCTCGCCGTCCTTGCGCAACTCGGCGACGGTCGAGCCCTGCGCGCTGCGCAGGGCGGCGCGCCCGTAGTCCACCTCGGCCACCAGCGCGTCCTCCCCGTCCGTGACGTAGCCGACTCCGTTTGCGGCGCCGGGCGGCGTCACCTCGCCCAAGTACTCGAGGGCGGCCGAGCCGACGGTGCCGTCGCGCTCGATGTAGGCGAGGAGGGAGCCGCTCGCCGAGGTGAGGCTGCCGTCGGCCGCCAGCTGCGCGCGCACGCGCCCGTCCGCGTCGACCACCTATCAACAATGGCGTTGAAGCTGTCAAGCGACCCCACCGCCAAGGTGCAAGCTTGTCGGGCGTACCCCACCCGGAACTGGACGGCGCCCGAGCCGGAGCCGACCAGGTCGTGGAGCGCCGTCTTGGAGTCGACTCCGACGCCCGCGCGCGCGGCGATCTCGCACGGCGAGCGAGGGTGCAGCACGGCGCGCGCAAACGACTTGCGCGATTGGCGCCTCTTCTGGTGCCTCGACGAGCCGAGCGCAGACACGGCCTCGGCGTCGACGTCTCGCGTCGTCACCGGCCGCAGCTGCTCGGCGGGCGGCATCGGCGTGTCGGCCGGCGGGGCGGGCGGAGGGGCGGGCGGCGGCGGGGTCGGTACGGGCGCCGCCGCCGCGACGCGGGGCTGCGCCGCCGGCTGCGCGACCGGCGTGCGGGCGAGGACCTCCTTGCGGACCGGCCCTCCCGCCGCGTACTCCGCGCGCGGGACCGTGTCGGCGGCGGCGCGGACCAAGGAGCGGGCCGAGGAGGCGGAGAAGGCGGGCTGGCCGCTGAGAGGGACGGGCGTCGAGGTGGGGAGGGCGCTGTAGCCCGCACCGCTGTAGCCCGCACCGCTGTAGCCCGCACCGCTGTAGCCCGCACCGCTGTAGCCCGCACCGCTGTAGCCCGCCGAGCCGACCGGCGTCGCGCTCGGCGTCGCGTTCGGAGGCGGCGGCGGCGCGGCGGAGGGGGCCGGAGCCGGGGCGGGGACAGTGGCGGGCGGCGGCGGCGGGGCCGGCGGTGCCGGTGCCGTCGCCTCCGCTTGGTCGACGGCCGCTTCTGCGGCGGCGCGCCAGCTGCTGGCCGCCGCCGCGACGGAGTGGTCTGCTCCGAGCGGCGTGAGGCCGGGCGAGGGAGGCAGCGGCGCCGCGTGGAGCGGGACCATCGAGAGGCGCTTGTTTAGGTTTGCGACCGGGAGGAGGCCGGGCGTCTCTTGCGCCTCCGCGTGCGGTGCGGGAGGAAGGGGCGGACCCTCGGGCGTCTGCGCGGGCTCGGGCGCGCGCTGCGTCTGGAGCGACCTCGGCACGAAGGAGGAGGCCGGCTGGGGCGGCTCGGTCGCCTTCTTGGCGGGCGGCGGCTCGAGACGGCCTTGCTCGGCGTCTGGCTTGCCTAGAGGCAGTGAGTGGGGAGTGGTGAGAGACGAGGTGCTCCAGGAGAAGGGCGCGGTCGGCGCCTGGCGCGCCGAGCCGGTGCGCCGTCTCTCGGACGAGGAACTCGGCCTACACCAGGGGAGGGGCTCCGAGAAGGCTGAGGGAAGGCGCTGTGAGCTTGCCGTCGGTGGGGGTGTGGCTGCGCGCCGAGTTGAGGTGTCGCGCGCGGGAGACGAGGTCGGAGATGGAGGGCGGCGCGATGCCGATCGACGCGTACGCCGCGGCGGTCGCCTCGGGCACCTGGGGGAGAGACGGCCCTCACCTCGAGTGCGTGTGGAGTGCGCCCCTCTCCCTCGGAGGCGCCTCGAGCGAGCCGCCGCTCAGCCGGCCAGAGCTCTGGTCGAAGGAGAGGAGGAGCGCCCAGCCGGCCGGCTCGGCGAACTCGTACCTGGGACACGTCTCGGACACGTCGTGGGAGGTGTTGCCGGGAGGCTGCTGCGAGCTCGCGCCGGAGCGAGTCGGAGGATGAGGAGCAGGAGAGGCCGGAGAGCGAGCGGACGACGGAAGAGACGTGCTCGAACCTACGAGCCGCAAGCTCGGCAACATCTCGGCATCACCTCGGATACATCTCGATGCCATCTCGGCAGCACCTCGGATACCTCTTGATTGCCTCTCGGCTGCCTCTCGGCTGCCTCTCGGCTGCCTCTCGGCTACACCGCGCCACTCGGACGACTGCGACTGTTGCGCGTCTCGAGACTGGGCCTGCTGCTGCAGCGTGGCGAGCTGGGCGCCGACCGCCTCGCAGTCCTGCGCCTCGCGCCTCAGGTGGACCTCCACCTCGCCCGCCTGCGTCTCCACCTCCTCCTTCCGCCGCTGCAGCCGCTCCACCGCCGTCTGCGCGCGGAAGAGCTCGCCGTCCGCTGCGTCGAGCCGCGCCTTTGCGGCGGCGATGCGCGCGTGGAGGGCGGCCTCGCGCTGCTGCGACTCGGCGACGGCGGCGCGCTCCGCCTCGACCGCCTCGAGCGTCGCGCGCGCCGCCGCCAGGTCCGCCTCCTGCCGCGAGACCGCCGCCTCGACCGCCTCGGCCTGCTCGCGGACCTGCAGCCGCCGCTCGCGGTTGAGCCGCTTGAGCGAGACGACCTCCGCCTTCTTGGCGTCGGCCTCGGCGGCGGCCTCGCGCTCCTCCTGCTCGTCGATCACCACCTTGTCCTGCCACACCTGCTCGAGCATCCGCTTCTTGGTCTCCTTGCTGATGAGCACCGCCTTCTTCTGCCGAAACTCGTCCTGCGGGAGCGGCGCGGCGGGCGGGGCGCTGCGGTGGGTACGCCGACGCCCGAGGAATGGGGCGTGGCGCGCGGGTGCGAGCCCATGCGACGCGGAAGGGGCGCTGCTCGCGCGCGCGCTTCGCGCCTTGGCGGTCTTCCACTCGGCCTCCATCTCCCGCAGGCCCGTCTTGAGCCCGCGCGTGCGCAGCTCGCGGACCTTGGTGCAGTTGGCGTCAACCTCATCGAGGACCCTGCGGGAGCGGCGGGAGCGGTGTGGGGCCTCCACGGTGCTGCTGGACGGGAACGGAGGGGGGCCTTGCGCGCGCCGAGCAAAGGTAGCCATCGCTCAACGGACAGACTCAAAGCCCGGCAACGAAAAAGAAATACTTGTTGCGAGACATTTTTTTGTTCTCCACACCCCTCTCCTTAAAATCCCTGTGTGGTGGCGGCGTGCCGTCCTCCCATCCCTCCCTTGGGTTCTCCGTTTTCTTTCTTGCTTTCTTTCCCAATGTCGTTATGTATGTATGTATATGAGAGAGAGAGAGTTGTGGCTCGTTGTGCGAGTATATGGGACACGATGTCTCAAATATGAGGGGTTTTGACTCCTACCGGCTCCTGACGCTATCCCTGGCAGCTCTAATGACCAGGATCAGTAGTGCTATGATAGAGGGTGCCCATACTAGCGCAGGAGCTGCCACACTCGCCCGGACCGTCCCCTTCTGGGGCCGGTTCCGCAGCCCGCGAGAGCCAACAGCGGGGCCGTGCCGCGGGTGCCTACTGCCGAGTGCCACAAACACTGCGCCGTCCCGCCATCACCTACAGGCTGTCTTGTGTGATGGTTGGGATGTCCAAACGCCACCATCTTGGCTCTTGCGACCTCACACCCGCGAGCTGTATGGGTGGTCCTGACGTCGACAGACGCCCGATGACCACGGTGAAGCTGAGCCGGAACGCGTCGACAGGTCTCGTCTGAGCCCGTGGCGGTCGCCGGCTGAGTCGCTGTGCACGGACCGGTACCTCAGGCGTCACCTCCGCAGCCTCAGGTCTCACACTCCATCACCTCCGCCAGGACGCCGTCGGTGGCACGCTCGGCGGCGAGTTTGTGGCAGCTCCATCTCGAGTACGGCGTCGAGCCTAATCGGTCTGGTCGGTCGGCCGCACTCACCGGGTGCCAGGGAGTGCGGCCGACACTCGAGCGGTGCTTCCCGGCAGCGCGCGCCGGCTGTGGGGCTGCCACAAACTCGAGACACGCATTTTGGGACATTTTCGACGCTTTTGTCCCATATACTCGCACAACATGCCTTGTTTGTATATGTCGTTGGGGCTGGGCGGCGCACTGACGGGCGGACTTGACACTGTTGTGTGTTGACACCGCATTGACAGCCTTTTTTGGGTACGTCCGCTTCTTTTCATTGGCTTGGAGCACACCGCTCTCCGAAAGACTGCAGGGAGCGTAATTAGCAAGAATCCCATCCCGCCTTCCTCATACACGAGAAAAGTAAGCAAGACAAAAGTTTCACTTGTGGACCTCAGTGCTGGGAACTGGCATTCCCCTCCCCCCCCTGACGTCTCAGCCGCCATCCATCCGCGTGGCCTGCCGACGCGCTAGCGCACCTCTCGGACGCGTCTCTCACCGCGAGCCTCGGCCCGGGAGGCAGCGGCCGGCGTAGGAGGCAGGGGGGAAGGGGGGGGGGGGTCCGGCGCCGCCCGACGTCCGGAGAGAAGCCCCGACTCCACCCGACGTGCCCTCGCAGCCTTCCCTCCGCCTCGGGCCTCACTCGGCCGCCTCCGGCGCCGCCTCGGCCTGCCCCTTCTTCTTGGAAAAGTACGAGTCCAGGTCGTCGTCGAGCGCCGCGCCCGAGGGCGGCTCCCCCTCCCCCCTCCTGCCACGGCCCTTGCCCCCGCCCTTGCCCCGCTTGCCGCCGCCGCCCTCGCCGTTCTCGGCGCCCTCGCCCCCGTTGCCGCCGCCGTTGCCGCCGCCATTCATGTAGCTGCAGGGGGGTGGGGCGGCGAGTCTGGAGCGAGCAGAGGGGGCAGGAGGGGCAACGGCAGGGCAGCGAGGGGGGGAAGGGGGGGGGAGGGCGAGCGGGGGCGCGAGGGAGAGAGGGGGCGCACGAGTCGAGGTCGTCGTCCAAGTCCGTCGCACTCGGCATCCGCTCCCCCTTGCCTCCCTTGCCGCCCCTGCTCCCCTTGCCGCCTTTCATTTCCGGCGGGGAGGACGCTCAGCGCGCGAGGCGCACCGCCAACACAAGCAGGGGAGCGACGCGCACCCTTGCCGCCGCCCTTGCCCTTGCCGCCGCCGCGTCCGCCCCCGCCCTTGCCTGCGCTCCCTCCCCGGTCGGCGCGCACCTGACGAGTGCACGGGGACGAGGGCAGCCGCTCGAGCAAGCAGCGCGCTCTCGACCCAAGCTTGCCGCCGCCACGAGCAGCCTGCGCCCCCCCCCCCTCGCCGAACCACACGCCGCAGGCCACGCGCACACCAACCTCCTGCCTCAGCTCCGCAGCCGCCCCACCGCCCCGCCCGTCCCGCACCCCCCACCCCAACCCTCGCCCACCACCCGCCCCCCGCGTGCCTAGCGACGGGGACGGCGCGAGCGCGAGTCCGGCGCGTCGGCCGCCGCCGCCACGCACGTCGGCAGCGGAGAGCAGCCCCACGACCCTCCGCGGCAGCGTTGGCGACGGCGAGCGTCCGGTGCGCGGTGTGCAGAGTGCCGCCCCGGCGGTTGTCCGTCCCCGTCTCGCGTCTTGTCTATCCGTGCTACGGCCAGGCTGCGGGCGGGCTTAGCTCACAAAGATTTCGCGCCCGTCGAGGTCCGTCTCGGTGAGCTCGTCGATCGCCGCGAGCGCCTCCTCCTCGGTGCCAAAGCGCACGATGCCGATGCCCTTGGACCGGCCGTTCGGGCCCTCGAGGACTTCGGCGTACTCTACGTTTCCAGCGCGCGCAAAGTGGTCCTTGAGCCCCTTCCACGTCGTGTCGTATGACAGGTTGCCGACAAAGACCTTGCACGGGTTGGACTCCTCGTCGCCGCCGCGCGAATACGGAGACGCCCGCGCGCCCCCACGCTCGCGCCGGTCTCCGAAGCCGTACATCTGCGAGAGAGAGGAGAAGGAGCGCGCCGGGTTTCTTCCTGGGCTGAAGAATTACATGCACGTCACGCGAGGCCAATGGAGGCAACACCACCCCCCGCCCGGCCCGCCCGCGCGCGCTCTCTCGAGGTCTCTTGGAGCAGAGCCCCGGCGAGTCCTCGAAACCCAATGGGTCCTCGGAGAGGGTACCCTGTGGGAGAGAGAGTTTGTCCCTGTGGGTGGGCGGGGCCTCTACTCGCCAGAGTCAAGCGACAATGGGTCGGGGTTAAAGAAAGAAAACACTACAGCGGAGTGTGGGTGGAGTGTGGTGCAGTCGAACTTTCTTCTCCGAACACGTCTCCCAACGCGTGCACGGCGCTTTGACGCCATTGTTGACTCGTACGAAGTTCAAGCGGCCGCAGTCGCTCGTTGCCCACGGTGCGCTCGGAAGCCCACACGGACGCAACGCCCTGCGGGCGCGGCAATGTGCCATTGGCGCCGCCGCCAATGCCGCGCTCGCGTTGCAAAGCCCAAAGCACACTGAATTCCTCCGCGCCACAATCCAACGAGCGTAAATCGCGCCGACCACAATCAGCACGTGTGGTGCGGCGGGCAAGCGGCTGCATTGCGCACGGTCCCGCCATCACGCCCGGTGGTGCGCCCCCCTTCAGGCAGCCAGCAGCGGACCTGCGAGAAGCGCATGTCGGAGCACAATATGCTAGCGTCGACGACGAGGGTGACGCAAGAAGAGATTGTACGCAACGCGCAGAGGGCGGCGGCGGAGGCGAACGCGCAGCGCGCCGCCGCTGTCCAGCAGCTGCTTCAAGCGCAACGCGTCCGGCAGCTGGTCAGCGCTCCCGCCGCGTCGAGGCAGTGGGCTCCCCGACAGGCAAACACGCACAGTCCTCTTCACGTTCGATGCCCCCCTCATCACAAGTTTCCTCGGGCATACCGGCACTGCACCTCCCATCTCCTGACGACCTTCGCCCCCCCCCCCCCCCTTCCCATCACCAGCAACCAACCCCCACCCGCCCCAAATTCGCTCGCACATGCGAAGGCACACCGCTCCGCATATACAGGGTGCACAACCTTCGCGGCTCTCTTCTCTGTTGGTAAGATGCCCCTCCCCACGCAGGATCTGCCGGGCTTGTACCATCAGCGGGCGCTGGGCAATCTGATGGAGCGGCCGTCGCGGCCCTACCCGGTCGCAGCAGAGCGGCAGCCGGTCCGTCTGGTGTGGACGGCGAAGGTCGTCCCCTTCAGCTTCCTCACGCCGGACCAGGTGTTTCCCCCCGCCCCCGCCCGACGTGCCGCAGCGACCAGCTGCATCCCCCCCCCCCCCCTCACCCCCCTCACCCCCCCACCCCCTCCCTGCGAACAGCTCCGTGCCACGCCCGTCATGGCGTTCCCGGTCAACTCGCGACAAGGGTGGGCGGCGGCCGAGGAGGCACTGCTGCGGGAGCACGCCCAGGCGCAGGCGGCACCCCCCCCCGCGCTGCCACCGCGCCTCGCCGGCGTTCGCCCGCTGCCCGCGGTGCCTCCCCTCCTAGCCATGGCACTGCCAGTGGCGCCTCCTCGTACCCCCTTCATCGGGCAGGGAGGCGGCGGCAGCAATGCCGGCGTGCACCATACGCGCCCGACGCCGCCATCGGAGGAGGCTCTCTCCATGCTCCGGCTGCCGCAGCCGCAGATGGGCGGCGAGGTTGACGCGGGCGGGTTTCGCGTGCGACTCACCCTCACCGTGTCCAGCTCGGGCATCGGCGTGGGCGGCCTCCCGCTTGCGAGCACAATCGCAGACTGTGAGGAGTGCGTGTACTGCCTCGACAAGCCCCGTTTTGGCGGGCCCGGGACCAAGCGGCAAAAGTGCATCCTCAAGCGGGACCCAGTCGTCCCAGCGGGCCCGCTGCGCGTGTGGGCATCTCTGCAGGTGTGCACACCCAGCCATGCAGCTCGCGCCCGCCCTGCACATAGCGGTAGCTCCGACCGCCGCCCATTACGACCAACTTTAGGTCTACTCGGCCGCGCACCTTCGCTCCATCGAGGCGTATGCGTCGCAACCACCGCCGCCCGAGCTCACAAACGCGCTCGCCAGAGGGCCGCTCAAGCTCGTGTGGGGCTTCCGCCGCGCGCGCCGCGCCCGGCCCCTCCCCCCGGCCTACGTGCTCATGTACCACTGCGAGCGGCACGTCACCCTCGACCGCTCGAGCCTGCAGACCTCGCTAGAGCGCCAACTGACCAGCCGCTCGCGTGCCTGCACCGTCGCCGCCAGCCGGCCGTCGCGGGCACCAGCACCTGTCGTCATGGCCGCGTTGGCTGGTGGCGCGCTGCAAGGCGCGCGGCCGTGGGCCGGGAGCGGGCCCTCCTCCGCCGCTCGCCACGCCCAGCCGGCCCGCGGCCGAGGCGGCGAGGGAGGCTCTGACGACGAGGACGCCAACGAGGACTCGTCGAGCGACGACGAGGTGATCGAGGTGCAGGCCTCCCTGTGCGGAGACACCTCCCCGCACGGCGGCGAGACCGAGGCGGATCCGAGCATGCACCCGACGGCGCTCGCGGCGAGCGGCGTCGAGGCGGCGTCTATGGCGGGCGAGCTAAGCGGACGCAGCCTCAAGCGCCGGGCCCCTTCCGTCGACAACCCCGCCGCGCAGGCCGGGGAGACCAGCAGCAGGCCTGAGCGGCGAGCCCGCATGGCGCCCGGCTCCTACCGGCCGGCCAGCTGCCGCCGCTGCGGCATCGGCTGCCACGCGTGGGAGCTGCAGCTGCAGATGTGCCCCGACTGCGCGCTGCAGCATGTCCTCTCGGGGCGCCACCTCAACCCCGCCGAGCGCGACTTTGACGCGCCAGAGGCGCTGCGTGAGCCGCTGCCGCCTCCCGCCCCGTCACGCGGCGCTGTCTCCACCGCCTCCGCCTCCGCCTCCGCCTCCTCCTCCGCTTCCTACCGACCACGTGGCCCGCAGCGTGTGCGCGGCGGCGGCGGCGTCGGCGGCGGCGGCGGCGGCGGCATCGTTGTGCGGCGCGGCTCAGCGGGCGAGGCGGAGCCGAGCCTCGAGGAGGCGCTGCCGACGTCGCGCCGGCTGCAGGCCTTCGTCGAGATGCGCGCTGCGGCGGACGCGCGGCTCAAGGCGCTCGAGGAGAAGGAGGCGGCGGAGGGGCACGAGGTGGGACAGCTTTGGGTGAGCCGCGAGTCGGCCGACGTCCTCGACTTGCTGCGCTGCTCCGTCTGCCTCGGGTACCTCGACCGCGCAGTGACGGCGCCGTGCATGCACCGTTTCTGCCAGGACTGCATTGAGAAATGGATCCGGATGGGGCGGCGCGACTGCCCCGAGTGCAAGACGGCGGTGCAGACGCGGCGCTCGTTCCGGCGCGACCAGCGGGCGGACGAGCTCGTCTCCTCCCTCCTCACTGCGCCCGAGTGCTGCTTCGACGCGTCCGGCCTCGACGAGACGCAGCTCGAGCAGCGCGGCCTCGTCGAGGTGCAAGGCATCTTCCTCCACCCGCTCGGGCCCTCCGTCGCGCCGAGGCTCAACGGACGCGTCCCTCGCGCACCCTCGCCGCGCCGCGCCGCACACCGGCGCGCCCCGTCCTCCGCCTCCTCCTGCTCCGGCGGCAGCGGCGACGAGTCGGACGGCGGGCGGGAGCGGGCACCGCGGGCGAGGCAGCAGCAGGGCAGCGGCCCAGGCCCGGGCGGCCAGGGGGCGAGCGCGTCGCGAGCCGAGTGGTCTGTCGCCGAGGACAACTTGCTGGTTGGCATCCTGCGCGGCCAGGACGAGGAGATCGACCCGCTCCGCGTGCAGTGGTCGCAGCTCGCCTCGCGGGTCTCGGGCCGCACCTGGAACGCTTGCCGCAACCGCTGGCTCAGGCTGCAGCGGATGGAGGCGGCGGGCCTCATCCCACCAGAGGGGCTCAGCGAGCCCATCGCCCCGGAGCCGCCCCCGCCGCCGCCCCAGCCGCCGCCCAAGCGCTCCTCCGCAGAGAGCATGTTTGACCAGATGCCAGTGCACTTTCGGCTCGGCGCGCCGGTCGGCCCCGTGAGGGCGGCGAGGCCCGCGCCGTCCGAGCGCCGGGCTCCGTACCCGCCGCCCGCCCGCAGGCCGCCCGCCGCCCCGCGCCTCGACCGGCGACGCGGCGCCCCTCGCGGCCTCGGCCAGTGCGAGCGCAACCCGGAGTGCGTGCGGGGCTACCGGCACGGCGGCAAGGGCGGCAAGTGCAGCGTTCAGGCGCTGGATGGGCGCGCGGCCCGCCACTGCCCCGAGCCGCGGCGTGGCGAGGAGGAGGGCGAGGAGTGGGAGGAGGGCGAGGGCGAGGAGGAGGGGGAGGGCGAGGAGGAGGGCGGGGAGGGGCGAGGGGAGGCCGGCAGCACGCCCGCCCCTCCCGATCCCCCCGCCCCTCCCGCCCCTCCCGCGCCTGCTGCCCCGCCAGTGCCGAACGGCGCCCCGCCCGCCTCGAGCGCGAGCAACATCGCGCGGCCGTACAACGAGGGCGACGCGGCGGTGCAGTGCGAGCGGAACCCGCTGTGTCTCAAAGGCAACCGCCACTCTGGCTTCTGCCGCCTGTCGGCCACGAGCGTGCGCCTCTCGCGCGGCATCAAGGCGAGAGGGGAGTCACAGACCGCCGGGGGACCACACTGGGGCTCACCGCCCCCCCCCCCCCCTCCCCCCCCTGCCCACCGGCACGAAGCCTCGGAGACGCCGAGATAGTGAGACCCCCGCCCTCCTGCCCACAGCGTGCTGCGGCCGCCCTCGACGCCTCGGCGGACCCCGAGGAGGACTCGCCCAGGGAGGCCCGCCGCTCGCAAACAGGCGGCGACGACGCGTTGCGTGAGGCGAGGGCCAGCGACGATCGTCACCTCCACCCCTCGTGTCGCCAACCCTCGCCTTCAGCCGCTCCACACCGCTCCGCAGGTGGGCTGGATGGTCGTGACGCGCGAGACCAAGAGCGGGCGCGTCTCCAGACTGCCTGCTCACACACACCCGCGCACATGCTCCCCGCCGTGAGAGCGCAGCGCGCCTGCCGCCTCACAGGCGCTTCTACAAGGAGTACCACGGGCCGCACGGCCTGCGTGCTCGCTCGCGCGTCGAGGCGCTCCTCCTCCAGCAGGCGCGCGACAAGCTCGTGGCGGCGGGCAAGGCAGGTGCCTGCCTCTAGCTTACCCCCTCGAGCAAGCGCCACGCCCTCCTCTCCGCCACCTGCTCCGACCCTCACCGGACACCGCCGCTTGGACGGTCCAGCAGGCGCTGAGGAGATGGCAGAGCTGGCGGTGCCCGTCGACGCGTTGGCTGACGTGTCCGGGGAGGAGTCGGACGGCGAGTAGGTTTCGCCGAGAGAGCCGAGCACGCTGCTGATGCGCCCGCGCTACCTCGGGCGCGGGCCGGCGGCGGAGGCCGGAGGGCCTCAGGGACTGGGGGGGCTGTGTAGTATAGCCGCGCATACGTTAGTGGTGCCCGAGCAAACGCGGTGGAAGGGATGCTCTAGCAAGGGATGCTGCTGGAGTGAGTGGGGACGCTATCTTTCTGGACTCTGCCTGCGCTGTTGGTTGGGTGTGTGTCTGACACGACTTGCGCGGGAGCTCGCTGCATGTGATCGAGACGCCTAGATCGCGGCGCGTCTCGTGTGTCGACCTCTACTGCTTACCTAATTCACTATTCTACGTCCCACAGCCCACACCCACTAGGTGTGGGTGTCCAACTCAAGAGACCGCGCAGAAACCAGAAGCGAGAAGGCCATTGAGGGTCGGTGTGGGAGTGCCAACCCCACAATGCCTATAAAAAACCCAACCCAGGATAGAGCCGTTATTTCGCGTTCGCTCGCGTTCCTGGGGAACCGTCTCGAGCGTCGAGGGACCCGTTTGCCGATGTCGCCTAGTGTGACTGACTCTCGGCGACTCTGACTGTCGCGCCTGTTCGCGGGATGGAAATTCTTTTCTTTTCCTGTGTCTCTCTCTTCTCTCGTGCCAGTGCGCGCGGGGGGGGGTCCACAGATAAATAAATAGAGCACGCCTCTCCAGGAAGGAGAGAGAGATGGATGGGCGACGCACGGACACCAGAGGGACAGGCGTGCGTGCGCGCACCCCGCCCCGCTCGCAGGGCGTAAAGAAAGAAAGAAAGAAAACACGCATCCAAGGGAGGGATGTCGCAGGGCGTGCATCACACAGCAAAATCCCGGCCTGCAGCAATTGGCAAAAATTCTTCTTCGTGGGTCGGGACTTTTCGCTGACCTATGGACGCGAATGCGTCGCTTGAGGCCAGTGCGTGTCCCTGCGGCCACCCGCCGGGTGCTGCTGCCCGCTGGCACGCCGCGGCCACTATCGTCATCTAGTCAATCAGCGGGCAGCAGTCAGTCCGCTGGCTGGGAGACCATCAAGCCGCGGTGGGATGCTGCAGCGTTCGCGTGGCGTCGCCGCTCGGAAGAGGAGGCCGAAGCCGTCATCAGTGCGGCGCGCACCGAGCTTGAGCGGCTCGAGGCCCAGGCGCGCGGCGGCGGGGCGAATGCGGACGCGCACGAGCTCGTGGCGGCGGCGACGCCTGCGCGTGCAGCGCTTGGCGCCTGCCGGCGGGCAGGCCGGTGGACAGAGCTGCTCAGCCTGTTCGACGCGATGGGCCGTGCCAACGTGGCGCGAGATGGCGCCGCCTTCGAGCACGCGCTCGTAAGCGCCATGGTTCTCGAGCGCTTTGATCTCGCGCTCGCCCTGTGGCACGAGCTGCCACGGCAGCAGCCGCCAGTCGCCCCGTCTGTCCGCTCATACAACGCCGCGATCAGCGCCTATGAGCGGTCCGGTCGCGCTGCCGAAGCGATTGCCCTCGGTGAAAAGATGGAGGCGGCAGGCGTGGCGGCCGACTCGGACACCTGCCACGTCCTCATCTGCGCGTGCGAGGGCGCAGCGGACGCGAGGACGGCCAGCCGGATGCTAGCTAGGCGGCCAGCGAGGCAAGGGCGAGGAGACGAGGGGCGAGGGGCGGGGAGTGAGGGACCGCCTGGGTGGCTGTAGGCTCGAGGCGGCGGGCGCACGGCCGCCGGGCCGCCTCTACGACACCGCGATGTGCGCCGCCTCCGCCGCAGGGGACGGGAGGACGGCCCTCGCACTCCTCTCTCGGATGAGGCACGGCCGAGCGCCGCGCTCCGCCGCAACGTACGCCGCAGCGATCCGCGCGTGCGCACGCCGCCCTCCCGCGAGCCGCTCCCCGGCCGAACCGAGCGCGTTGGCGGCCGCCGCCTTGCCAGAGCCGCTTGCGTCGGCTCGCGGTTCGAGCGACGCCTTCTCTGCGGGCGGCGGCGAGGGCGGCGGCGAGGGCGGCGGTAGCGCTGGGATGCTCTCGTCGCTCGCCGCGTCGCTGCTCAAAGAGGAGCGGAGCGGGAGGGGTGGGCGGTATCAGGCTCGTACTGCAGACGACTCACCCCGGCTTCGCCTCTCCTGTTAGTCTCCCGAGCTCGTCGCGACCGTGCTGCGCGACGACGGCGCTGTCGACGAGCTGCTGCTCGCGTGCGGCTCGAGCGGCGAGGCGAGGGAGGCGCTCGACGTCCTCTCCGCCGCGGACGGGGAGGGGGAGGCCGCGCGCTCGCCGTCCGCCCTCTACCGCTGGCGGACGCTTGCGCTGCGCGCGTGCGGGGCCGGACCTTTCGGAGCCGAGGCGCGAACGCTGCTCGAGCAGATCCGACAGGACGCCGCCGGCGCAGAGGGAGGGAAGGGAGGCGCGGAGGGGGGGAGGGGCGTCACAGCCGCGCACCTCTCCGACGCGGTGCGCGCCTCGGCCGCGTCCCGCGAGTGGGAGGCCGCCATCGCGCTCCACGCTGACATCTGCAACAAGTGGGGCTCCGCCGCCGCCACCCCGGCCGCCGCCGTCGCCGCCATCGTGTCGCACGGCAAGCGGCGCCACCTCGACGGCGCGGCGGCGCTCTTTGAGTCGCTGCCGCCCTTGCCCCGCGCGCCGCAGCACCTCGCCGCCGGGCCGCAGCAGCAGCGGCTTGGGCGGCGCGACAGCGGGGGCGGCGGAGGCGGCGGCGGCGGAGGAGGAGGAGGAGCGGTCGCGGCTGCTGCCGGCGCCGCCCCGGCGAGGCCGATGCGCGACGTGCAGGCGTACAACGCGATGCTGATGGCGTGCCTCGAGTGCGGCGCGCCCTCGCACGTGCTCTCGCTCCTCGCGGCCATGCGCGCCGACGGCCTTCTCCCAAACGCCCTCTCGCTCACCAGCGCGATCGTCGCGGCGCAGCGGCTCGGGCGGCACGAGGCGGCGCTCGCCCTCGTGCAGGAGCTTCACACGCCGCGCGCGTCGTGGAGGTGGAGAGACACGTACGAAGCGGACGCCGCGGACGCCGCCGCAGCCGACGCCGCCGACGCCGCCGCGACTCCATCCCTCTTTGGCGGCTTCGGTGTCGGCGGTTCGGTCGGGCAGTCGGCGGCGCAGCTTCCGCTCGGCGACGCGCTGCGGCTCGGCGCATTCAACGGCCGCATCACGGCCTGCTTGCGCGACGGGCAGCCGTCTCGCGCGGTGGCGCTCTTCGAGGAGATGGGCGTGCGCGGCGTCCCGCGCAACTCCCTCTCGCTCGCTCTCGGCGCCGAGGCGATGGCGCGCTGCGGCGAGTGGGCCCGGCCGCTCGAGGCGATCGGCCTCATCCGCCAGCACGCAGCCGCGGCGGGCGCGTCGGCCGACGCCGGCGCCGCGCCGCCGCCCGCCGCCCTGTCGGCGGTGCCGGCATCGGCGCTGTCGTCGGCGATGCGCTCCTGCGTCGTCCGGCGAGAGTGGCGCGGTGCCCTCGCTCTGCTCGACCCGAGCGGCGACGCGGCGGTTGCGGTGGCGACCGCTGCGAGAGGCGTGGCCGGCGGCCGGGCGTCGAGTGGTGTTGGAGGCGGGGCTGGCAGCGGCCTGCCGCTGGCCGAGGCGCCCCGCTCGCTCTTCTTCTCGGACGACGAGTTGCAGGCGGTGGCGGAGGCGGCCGCTGCGGCCGCCGCGGCGTCGGCTGATTTTTGCGCCGCCGCCGCGGACGCTTGCGTCGCCGCCGGCGAGTGGAGGCGCGCTTCGGCGCTGTGCGACAGCTGGCGGGGCGGCGGCGGGGACGCTGCGACTAATCCGCTGGTCTTACACGCGGCGATGAGCGCCTTCGAGGCGGGCGGGCAGTGGGAGAATGCTCTCGCCACGCTCGAAGTCCTGGCGAGCCATTGGGCGCCGCCCCGCCTTGGCTCCTCTCCCCTCGCTTCCTCAGTGCGAGGGTCTCTCCTTGCAGGCGACGAGCGAGGAGCCGTCGCCGCTCACACCGCCCGCAGGCGCCCCCCCAAACCCACCCCCGCCCGCAATTCGACGCCCACGCGCGCGGCCAAGCGCCACCCCCTTTCCCTGCAGGCGTCGCCCTCGGGAAGGCGCTCGGCGCGTGCACCGCCGCAGGGGCCTGGCAGCCCGCCGCGGCGCTGCTCGCCGCGCGCGCCACCGAGCCACGCGTGCGCGCCACGATGGTCGTGCGCGCCCTCGATGCGTGCTCATCGCGCGGCGCCGTCGACGCCTTGCTGGCGGCGCGAGGTGCGGCTGTCCCACTGGCGCATGACCCCTCCTCCAGCAGTGCTGGAGACGGGGTGGCGGGGGAGGCCGATTCCGAGGGGGTGGGGGAGTGCTCACTCGGCTTCGCAGCGCCGCCCCTCGAGGGGGCCGAGCTGAGCGCCGCCGTCACAGCCTTCGCCGCGCACGGCGCGTGGGACCGTGTGGCCTCCGCCCTCGACGAGGCGGAGGAGGCGCGCCGCTCGCTCTGCGCGCCGCCGCTCCAAAAGGCGATCGAGAGCGCGGCGGAGGCGCGCGAGTGGGGCCTGCTCCTCCGGCTCTTCCGCGGCGGCAGCGGCGGGATGGTCGCTGCCCTGCCGCAGCCTGTCGACGGCGCCACGCCGGGTGGCGGCGACGCCGGGCGGGCGGGGGGTACCGCGGGCCACGTGGGTCCTCACCAAGCCGGGCGAGAGGAGTGGGCCGAGGAGGCGGAGTGGGCGGGCGCGGCGGAGGCTGGCTTCGCCGTTGACCTCAACGCCGCGCCCGTAGCTGCGGGCGCGGCGGGGGTCGGCGGCGGGGCAAAGGCGGCGGGCGTGGCCGTGACGAGCGCCGCAGCCGGCCTCGCCGCAGGGGCGGCGGCAGGGCCTCATGGCGCCGCCCTCGGCGCCGCGGCGGGGATTGCGGCTGGGACGGTCGCCGGCTTGCGCGGCGTCGAGGCGGCGGAGGCGTCGCAGGGCGCGGTCGAGTCCCTCCTCGGCATGCGGCCTCGGGACCTCTCCACCCCGGCGGCACGCGGCGCGGCGGGCGTACTCAGTGCGGGCGTTGCCGCCGGCGCGGCGGCGGCGGCGGCGGCCGGGCCCCACGGCGCCGCCCTCGGTGCAGTCGCAGGCATGGCGGCGGGCCTCGCGCGGCTGCAGGCGGGGCGCATGGGCGCTCCGATCGCCGCTGCCGTCGGAGCGACTCTCGCCGCGGCGGGCGGGGGCGGGCTGCGGCGCGGGCGGTGGTGGTGGGACATGGCCAGCTACCGGCTGGTGCTCCGCGCCTGCCGTCGCACCGCGGACTGGCGCACGGCCCACGCCGTCCTCGGCTCGATCCGCTCCATCCCCCCGACGGCCTTCTCTCAGCCGCCACGCGCAGCCGCGCCGCCGGCCGACGGCCCGCAGCCCCTCTTCGCCGACTACGCCGTCCTCCGCTCGCTCGGCCGCGCGCCCAAGTCGCCGCCGAGCCATCGGGCCGGGCGGCGGCGGGCGAGCGCTGCGAGCGGCGGCGGCGGCGGGAGCAGCAGTGGCGGCCAGGGCGGCGCTGGCGCCGACGCCGGCACCGGCACCGCGGGGTTGCTGCGCGCGCGGCTGCTCCCGGCGGCACCGGCAGCCGGGATGGCGCACGCCGCAGACGCCGACTGCTTCGCCCAGGCCATGACTGCCGGCCTCGCTGATGGCTCACCCGAGGCGCTGCTCGCCACCGCCGCCTTGCTCCAGACGGCGGAGAGGGCGGGCGTGGCGGATGGCGCAGTCTACGGCGTCGCGGCCCAAGCCAACGTCCGGCTCGGCCGGAGGCTCGAGGCCTGGCAGCTGCTGCAGCGGGCGAGGGCTCGCGGCGTCGAGCTCATCACGCTTGAGATGAACGTCCTACTCGGCGCGGGGGCGCGGTGCGGCCAGCTCCTTCCCGCCGTGGCGCTGCTGCACGAGATGCGCCGCTCGGGCTCGCGCGTCGCTCCGGACGTCGGGTCGTACGACGCGCTCCTGTTCCCGCTCGCCTCCGCGGGCCGGTTTGGAGAGCTGCTCTCGCTCTTCGACGCGATGCAGAAGGACGGCCTCGCGCCGATCGAGCCGCACTACCGCCTCGCCATCTCGGCTTGCGCGGCGAGGGGCGAGGGCGCGCGCGCGGCCGCAATTCTGCTCCGGATGCAGTCGCGAGGCATGCGATATGGCCAGGCTGCCGCCGCCGCCATGCTGGCGTGCAACCGCGAGAAGCGCTACACCACCACTCTCGACATCTTTGAGGCTCTTCGCGCCGCAGCCAGCGACGCGCCGCCGTCCGTCGCCTTCGCCGGCGGCGGTGACGACGGCGACGGCGCTAAGCGGGACGCGTGGAAGGAGGAGCCGTTCCGCTCGGCATACGTCTTCAACGCGGCCCTCGACGCGATGCGGCGACTCCACCGGCCGACCGACGCCGCGGAGCTGCTGCAGGCGATGCGGCGCGTGCACGGGGTCGCGCCGGACCACGCGTCCTTCGGCATCGCCCTCGCCTCCGCCCGCGAGGCGGGTGACGCGCGGCTCTTTCTCGAGCTGCTGCGCACGCTCTGCGCCGAGGCGGGAGGGAGGCGAGGCGAGGGAGGGAGGCGAGGCTTCCTCGTCTCGGACCGGCTCCACTCGGAGCTCCTTGCTGGGCTCGGCTTCTTCGGCGAGCCTCGCCGCGCACTGCGGCTGCTGTCGCAGCTCCTCGACACCGACCTGCCACTCTCGAGCGCCGTCTTCAACCGCGCCCTCAAAGTGGCCGGCCCACCGCCCCCACCACGCAGCCCCATCGCCCCACCAAGCCCCTGCGCCCCTCCCGTGCCTCCACCGCGCTCCAGCCCCGTCGGCTGCGTCTCTGACCCCGGCCTCGTCCCTCCAGGTGGTCGGCCGGTCGGCGGAGCGCCGTCCCCTCGCCCTCCGCCTTGTCGCCATTGGCAGCGAGCGCAGCGCGTGGGACGCCGCCGCCGACAGCGAGCCCTTTGTCTGGGCGCCCGAGGCGGCGCGGCTGGACGCGCGCGCCTTTTGGACCGGCCCGCCGCTCACTGCGGCGCTCGCCTTTTGGCTTCGTGAGCTCGCCGCGCGCTATCCGCCGTCTGGCGCCTCGCCGCCGCCGCAGTCCGCCGCCCTCGTCGTGTCGGACGGGGCGCGCGCAGGGGGCAGCGACGCCGAGGCGGAGGCGCGGCTCGAGTACGTCTCGCTCGACCTCTCGTCGCACGGGGTGGTGCACGCTACGCTGCCGGCCGGCGAGGCATACGCCTCAGACGCTCTCGCGCCGCCTGGCCTGCCGCTCCTCAGACCTTGCCTCCGCCTAGTTGGGGACGCGGCGTGCATGACGCGTGCGTGGCATGTCGCGTAGGCGGCCTGACGCTGCTGCTCGACGTGCCGTCGGCGCTCGCCGCGGGGCGGCAGCTGGCGGCCTCTGTGCAGGAGCCGCCTCGGTCGGCGCGCCTCGATGCGCTGCTCGGCGGCGACGACGTGGCTGCCGACGAGCTCGACCACTCGCTGGACGCGCTGCTCGGCAGCCTCGCCCCGCGGGATGTGTGGGCGAGCCGCCCGCTCCTCCGCGGTCGAGGCGCACAATAGCCGAGCAGAGCTCACGAGGAGGGGGGGTCTGGCCGTGTAGGTGAGCCACAAGCGCCGCGACGAGGCCAGGCGGCGAGCCCGCGGCCGCGCCGCTCTGCTCGAGCGAGGCTTGCTTCCCGATGACAGACTGCTGTCCGAGGAGTCTGCCGCTGCCGCGTTCGACTCTGCGGCCGAGCGCAAGGCTGCGCCCGGCTCGCGGTCTCGGTGGCCGGCGCCGCTGCCTGACGGGCGGGTGCCGTGGTCCACTCCGCGAGAGTCGGATGCGCGACCGCGGGACAATGTGTTTCGCGCCGCGCCGTCTCGGAGAAGGGCGGTGTGAGAGGGACGACAGACGTGTACGTATGTGTAGTGTCTAGTGTGTAGTGAGATTGCTGCACTGATGGTTCTGATCGCGCGCTGCGCCGTGACGTGTTGCCCCGGCGTTCGTGTGAGGCTGCTTTCAGCTAAGATAACTTTTTTTGAAAAGATAGATTGAGCAGGCAGACAGCGGGGGCGCCCCCCCCCCCCCTTGGAAGCGCGAGGTAAGGTAAGGTAAGGTAAATTTCTCCCCACACACAAAGTGGTGGGGCAAGGCCAAGTGGGGGCGACCCTCGCATTCCTCAATCATTCCAACTCCACAACCCGGACATGCCGGACATGTCCGAGATTGGACACCCCCACGATTTTCACGAGATTTTGCCAATGTTGGGCCGCTGTGCTGTGCTTTTGATGTGCACGATCGTAGCCAGAGTCCCAGGGGTTTACTCAACGCGGCCACTCGCTCGCGCCCTCCGCGCGGCGCTACTCCCGCCGCCTGCCGCGCGCGCCCGCTTTTGCTTGAGCCGGTTGCAGAAGCCGAGCCGCTCGAGCGCGTCAAGCGCGGCCGCCACCGTCGCAGGCCCCACCCCCGCCCCCGCGGCCGCGCGCGCCTCCTCCTCGGAGAAGGTTGCTGGCGCGGCGCGGCACCACTCGAGCAGCGGCCACAGCGGCGGCGGCGCGAGCACCTCGACGCGCAGCAGCGAGGCGAGCTCCTCGCCGCCGAACTGGGCGTGCAGCACGTACGCGCGCGGGTCGCCCGCCCCCTCCCACGTCGCAACGGCGGCTTGGTCGACGCCGTCCACCAGCAGCGCCTCGCCGCTCGTCAGCAGCTCTGCGCGCCCAATCGCGCGCGCGAGCCGGCTGGGCGCGCGACCCGACCGCTCGCCGGCCTCGCCCTCCGCGCCCTCCTCGCCCGCGCCGCCGCCCTCGCTCTCGCCGCGCGTCTCGCTGTCAGCGTCGCTGTCCTCGTCGTCGTCGCTCCCGTCCCCCTCCTCGCTGCCGCCGCTCTCCTCCGCCTCCTCCGCCGTCGGCGCGCGCAGCACGACCGCGAGCGGGTTGCGCCGGAACCGGCGCGGCGGCCCCGCCTCGGCCGGCTCGGCCGGCTCGGCGTCGGCCTCGCTGGCGAGTGGCAACGCGAGCTGGAGGGGCCGGGGCGGAGGCATGCAAGCGGGGAGGAGGTCGACGGGGCGCAGGGCGGCCGCCTCCTTTGCGAGGAGGGCGAGCGCGTCGGCGAGCTGCGACCGGCCCTGCGCGAGCGAGTGGAGGCAGAGAGGCGCGCGGCCGGCCGGGTGGCAGCGGAGCCGCTGCTTGAGCGCGTCTCCGAGCACGTCCGCCCAGCAGAGGCCGATGAGGGAGACGTTGACCGAGAGCGAGTCCTCCTCGCACTCCACGCGGTGCCTAGTGGACGCGCCGCGAACGGGTCGTGGACGTGCCGCGCCGGCTCTGCCTCTGCTCGCGCTGTGCGCTGCGCCACGTCCCGGCGGGCAGGTAGAGGAAGGAGCCCGGCGTGAGGAGGACGTCCTCGCACCCCTCCTCGAGCTCCTCCGCCGCCGGCTCCGGCTCGAAGGCCGCCGCCCCGCCCGAGTGCTGCGCGTGGCACTTTGCCTGCTGCTCCGCCGCGCCGAGCATCGCCGCATCCTTCCGCCGCCACATCGGGGTGCAGCCGCGGACGGGGTGCGCCACGTCGCCCCGCTTGAGCCGCCAGCGCTTGCTGCCGGAGAGCTGCAGCGTGAAGTTCTCCATGAAGTCGAAATGCCAGTCCGTCGTGTGGCCCGCCCGGGACGCAAACGTCTCCACCTCGCTCCGAGCCGCTCCGTCGGGGTGGAGGGCGCCGTACGACATGCCGAGCTGCTGCGAGAGGGCCGTCACGAGCAGGTCGGACACCTCCTCGGGCGCGCGGAAGTAGAGCGAGCCGCCCGCGCGGTGGCACGCCAGCGCCGCCTCTGCGTCCTCCGTCTTGAAGGACTCCGCGCGGCCGCCGCCCGACTGCTCGCCGGGCCGGCCGCCGAGCTGGCCGGAGACCCAGACGTGGATCGCCTCGGACGGCGTGTCCTGCAGCAGGCGCGCCAGCGAGAGCCGGTGCAGCCGCTCGACCAGCGGCTCGAAGCGCCGCGCGGACGAGTGTGTCGCATACACCCGCTGGCGGTAGACGGCCTGCACAAACTTGTGCGGCGCGAGCGGGTGGACGAGCTGCGCGAGCAGCGGCAGCCGGCGGCCGTCAAAGGCGCCGACAGACGGGGCCGGGTCGCGCTCCTCGTCCATCCACCGCTCGAGCAGGAGGCGCGACATGCTGGACGCAAGGATTTCTCTCTGCCCTGCCGGCCCCTCGGCGACGATGCGGTGCAGCGGCTGGCCCTGAGAGAAAAAATCAGCGTTTCGATTGTTTTTTTCCTTCTCTTTTCGTGGAGGAAGGTCAAGGAGCGCCTGCACGCCCTCCTCCGCGGCGCTCGCGCTCACCTCCGCGGCGCCTGCGGGCACGGAGATGGAGCTTCTCACCTCCTGCTTCCCGTGCTGCTGCCCACCGGAAGCCGCCTCACGCGTCACCTCCGAGCTCAAGCTGATCGAGGAGCCTGGCGTCCGGCCGCCGTACCACCACCGCCTCGGCTCGACGCTCAGCGTGGACGGCGACGCGGGCGAGACGCCGACCTCGTCGGGCGCCGGCCCGAGCAGCGGCGGCGGCGACACGCCGCCGCACCTCTACCCTTCCGACACCGCCAAGCTGCTCCCTGGCGAGGGCGCGCCCGCCGGCGCGATCCGCTTCAAGGCGCCGTTTGGGCTCAAAAAGACCAACTCGTGGCCGCGACGAGGCCACGCCAACGCGCCGGCCCCCGAGGCGGTCGGCGTGACGCCGGCCGCGCGCAGGCAGGGCACGCGCAGCGAGATCGAGCCGCTCTCCGACACGGACGAGTCGGAGACGCGCGAGCCGCTCGTCGGCGCGGCAAAGCGGCGGCAGGACGACGGCGGGGAGCCGCTCTCGGCGAGCCCGCCGCTGCCGGGGGCCGCCACCTGCCGCGCCGACTTCGCCCACCCGCTGCACCGCCGCACCCACTCCTCCGACCTCGCCGACGGCCTCGACGTCAGCGGCGAGTCGCCCTCCTCGGCGATGGAGGCGATCGCCGGCGCGACCGTCGCCTCGGTCACCGTCGACCTGCGGGAGGGCCTCGGCGAGGGGGAGGCGGCGGGTCGGGCCGGCGCTCCGTCCGCGCTCCCCCCGTCCGCGCTGCCGGACGGCGTGGTCGACGGCTCCCCCCTCCGGCCCGACCAGCCGACCGCGCGCCCCTTTCCCGCGCCGCCAGCCTTTGAGCTCCCTCTGGCTCGGCCTGCCGCGCCCGAGGCGCACCCGAGCGAGGCAAGCGCGGCCCATCCCCAGCCCCCAGCCACGCCGCAGCCTCCAGCGCCGCTGCCGGCGGCGCCGCTGCCCGCCGCCGTCGAGCCGGCCGCCCCGCCGCCGCCCGCCCTGCCGCCCGCCCTGCCGCCGCCCGGCGACGCTCGCATCGAGGAGGCGGAGCCGCCGCCGCCGCCGCTCGGCTCGCGGCCCCTCACTATTGCTCCGGCCGCGCGGCCCGTCGAGCCCGTCGCGCCGCTCAGCACGGCTCCGCCTCTCGCGCCAAAGACGCCCTCGGCGGCGGAGCTGATGCGGCCGCGGCCCGAGGGAGCCGCGAGGCGAGAGCCCTCCCCTCGGCAGCCCTCCCCTCGCCGCTCGCCCCGCTCGTCGAGGAAGCTCGGCCGCTCGACCTCCGCCTCGTCGTCGGAGCTCTCGTTCGGCAGCGGCAGCAGCGCGGTCCGCCTGCTCCCGGCGCCCCTCAACAAGAACCGCGTCTGCGAGTACGGCTGGCTCACGCCGCTCCTCTCGTCGCTGGTGGCGAGCCAGGCGGCCGGTGTGACGGACCTCGCTTCCGGCACGCCGGGCGCCACGCTCTTCGTCGTCTGCGGCGGCTGCCCAAACTCGTTCTGCGGCATGCAGGCCGTCCTCTACACGCACATGCGCAGCTCGCCGCCGGAGCTCGACTTTTGGCGCGCGCGAGAGGGGTGGGGGTGGGGGAGGGGGGAGGGTGAGGAGGGGGCCGGCGGGTGTGGGGGGAGGGGAGGTCGCTGACGGGCGTGCCGCGCCCGTCCCCTCGCCGCAGGTGGATCAAGCCGAAGAAGGAGGACGGCTCGACCCTCGAGCGCGCCACGCTCGACCGCCACTCCAAGGGCGAGCGCAAGAACGACCCTGGGGCCGTACTCATTACCTACGAATTCACTGTTAATGAACTGTTAATTCACAGGCGAGCACAAAAACGACCCGGGCCGCTCGCGCGCGCTGTACGCGCAGTTCGCAGACCTGTTCGCCGTGGGCGGCGGCGCCGAGGCGGCGGCGCGCGCCTCGCGGGCGGGCGGAGGCAAGCTGCGCTTCGAGGTTGTGGGTGCGTCGGGGCCGGCGCCGCGCGCGCTCATCGTCGACGTCGAGTCGCGCGCGCACTACTACATCTACCTCATCTGGCAGGAGGATTGGACCTCCAACCCGTTCGCGCGCTCAAAGTACATCAAGGGCAAGCTAGTCTACCAGCGGGACCCGACCGTGCCAGAGTACTTCGCGCGGCCGTACGCCTACCGCGACGGCGTCCTGTCCGTGCCGCCGCACGCGGAGCTCGAGGAGGCGGTGGCGGAGCCGATGCCGACCGACGCCATCCAGAGCCGCTGCCTCGACGACTCGTGAGGCGGTAGATGAGGCGGGGGGCGGGGCGGGGCGTCGGCCGCGGCGGGCGGCAGGCGCATCGCGGCTCGCTAGCGGGCAGCCGCCTCGGGGCAGCCGCGCGCCGGCTCTCGGGCCGGGGCGGTAAGCCCGTGAATAGTCGCTAGCGAGAGCGTGCGAGTGTGTTGGGCGCCGGCGTGGTGGCGGTCAGGCGGTGTGGTTCGCGGTCGAGGCTCCCAGGCTCCGCGCACCGCGGTATTCAAACCTCGGCTCCGATATACGGGGCGGTCGGCGGTCGCACTACTAACGCCTAACGGCGGGTTTTTTCCGCGCTCAACCTATACAACCAGCGCTCAGCGGTCCATACACAGGGACAGGCCATTACACGCGATACCCGGTACGGCTTCCTTTACACAGAGAAGAGATACGGGCCCTTAAGGGCCTAGAGAACACAACAGTCACCCCCCTCTCTCTTCTTTCTCCCAGTAAGCTAAAAGTACGTACGTACACAGAGATAGCTGTTTATGCATACGGTACCGTTTTGCGCGTTGGCACATTGCACCGTTTTGAGAGAGTGAGAGACGTGCTCACGAACGATCCAGGCACTTGCTGTGCTCGTTCGAGGCATCATCTGAGCTCGGGTGCAACCGGTACATCAGTCAGAGAACAAACAGGTTTCATGTACTCGCTCGGTCCTCGGACCTCGGAGTCGAGGGGACAGCGAGGGGACCTCGCCGGAGGCGGAGCGGGAAGCCCGGTGTATCGTATGGTCCGACACATCCAAAGTGGAAGCACAGGGTGTGTTGGGAGTACCCTCAGGGGTGAGACTGAGCCGGGAGGACCTGGTGGGTGGCCGGCCCGATCGGTACAGCCTTCAGACGGGCCTTGATGCTGTCTGAAAGGGCCGATATCGAGCGGTAGCATCCGGGGCAGCCTGGTCACGCTTGCCACGACTAGCGCTCGTCTGCTGCACGCCCGGCTCGCGAGGCAGCCTTCTCCACAGCCCGCACAAACGCCCGTTTAGGCAAGAGGAGAGTCGTCCCCCCCCAAGTCGACCCCCCCCCCCCCTAGAATCGATTTCTGCTAACGATTTCACCGGAAAACGCTGGTGCAGATGAGTATTATTCGGTGGAAGTCCGTTGTTGCACCGCTGCAAGGGCGTGCGTGGCCGGTGAGGTGAGGCCGCGGACTCGGCCATCTCCCGCGGGTGAGAGGGCGAGAGGAAGCATGCCCGTCCGAGTCGGGGAGGCAAACACACAACCATCCTCGCGCGTGTGGGCGGCCTTCTCGGCCCGCTATACTAACCCTAAGTCGGCCCTTCCTCGCGGTCGGCTGCGGAGGCCCCTTAGCCCTAGCCGGAGCTAAGGGAGCCGGCTTTTTCGGCGCTAACCCTAGGAGAAACCGCTCCGGAAGAGGGTTGCTGGCACCATCGGGCGGCGCCATGCGGATGGCGGGAGTCGGGTCTGCCATCGGCGGGCCGTGAGAGCGCTGACAGGCACGGGGGAGTTTTTTGCTCACTTTCGGCGTGGCGCCGACTAAGGGAAGCAGTCTATGCTAAACTTTGCGATCTTCGGCCTCGTTTTGACCGTCGCCTTCGCAAGAAACGGCACCCGCGAGATCATAGCCAACGTCGAAACAGTGTACGAGAAGCCTGCGTCTCCGGCTCGTGGCATCGTCGTCCTGGCCCACGGCTGCCAGCATTCGGCGACAGATTTCTGGCCGCACAGCACCGCGTGCGCCGAGTGCATTGGCCTTCCAGAGGTTCCCAGAGACTGCTGTGCGTGTATGAGTGTGCCTTTTGCTGAGACCTGGATCGCCGGTCGGTGTAGGAGGTGCGCATCGCTCGCGCCATCGTCGCTGCAGGCTGGGTGGCCGTCGCATTCTCGTCAGCCGACCGCGAGATGAGCCGCTGCTGGGAGTTCGAGGTGGACGGGCCGCGTGTGCTGCGCGCCCTCTCCAAGTTCCGCCACCGCCACGGACTCGACGAGCTGCCCGCCGCCGCTCTGGGCGCCTCGTCTGGAGGCGACAGAGTGCTGCGCCGCTGCCGCCGCTCTGCTTCGAGTGGCGGCAGCTTGGCTAAGCCCCTCAGAAGGGTCCCCACCCGCGGCCCCCACCCGCGCGGCAGGCGCCTTTGTGCTGATGCTTGCGCGCGAGCTCCCTCTGCGGGCCGTGGTGTCGCAGATCATGGCCCTCCCGCCCGCGATGCTGCAGGGCTACAACGGCACGCCCTTCCCGCCCACTCTCTTCCTCCACATGCCTCGCGACGGGCGCACCGCCGCCCTCGTCAGCAAGTGCGTTGGCAGGCTCTCCCAGCAGGGCCGGCCCGTCGCGGAAATCGGCGCGGCGCCGCAACCCGCAGCCGCCCCCCACGCGCCTTCCCCACGCCCCGCCCTCCCCTCCCCCTTCCGCAGGCGCTCCGCCTCTCGCCGTGACGGACGCCTTCTTCACTCGCATACCCGGCGTCGGCGGCCCGCTCTCCGCCCGCATCGCCGCCGCGCTGTCGCCGCACCTCAATGGCCGCCCTTGCCGCTGCCGCGGCGTGCCACGCACCGCGCACATCTCACCCTGCGGCGTCTCTGCAGGCGAGAGGAGACTCAAGCAGGACCCGCGCCGGAGCAAGTGGCGCGAGACGCTCTGCGCCGACGAGGGCCTCTGCGCTCTGCTGCCCGGCCGGCGGCCAGGCGAGCCAGATGCGCTCGTGCACGACGTCTCTCCGGTGGCGGAGGTGCTCAACGTGGCGTGGGCGCAGCACGAGATCGTGGCGGACTACATGCCGCAGACGATGGAGTGGATCGAGAGCGAAGGTACGACTGGACTGGCGGGGGCGAGGCAGCGCGCAGAGCTTTGACGGCATGGATGGCAAGGGTGCGTCTGGCGAGGCGAGGGGCGGTGTGCGATTCGACTGGAAGCCTCCGTGTCTCCAAAAGCCGTGCCCCGCGCACCTTCGTTCTATGTGTGTTAGGTCTGTGAAGCGTGAGCTGTGACGGTGTCGTGAATTACTACACTACCCCCCAATTGGTATCATTTAACCCGAAACTGTGCGGCGGGCACCCATCGGCATCGCCATGCAGGCCGCTTTCGGCCGCCGTTGCCTGCAGCTCGTTGCGCTCAATCGCTCTGACGTAGGCGGGCTGCCATGGAGCACCGCAGCCGCCTTCTCCCTCCTCGCTGCCTACTTTCTCCTTGTCCCCCTCTCCGACACCCTCGCGCTGCAGGCCGGCCTCGAGCTGACTCCAGCCATCACAGCTGTGACCCTCTGCATCATCGCGGCGGTCACGCCCATGTACAGCGCTTTCGTCGCTGCGTCCCCTGTTCAGTCGGTGCTGCCGCGCTTCTACATCCTCGTTGCGGCGCTGCTACTCCTCTTTGGTGCCCTCCTCTCGCTCTACCCACGCAACACAGTGCTCGGCTTCAGCTTCGTCGTGTTCGTCCAAACCTGCTCGCTCTTCCTCACCACCACCTTCTGGGCGCGCATGGCAACGCTTCACTCCAAGCCTCAGTCCGTCCGTGTGTTTGGCCTCATCGCCGCCGCGGCATCGCTCGGCCAGCTGGGCTCGTCGTTGGCGGCTCCCGCTCTCTATGCGCTCATGGGCCGCTCCATCATCTTCGGGTCGGCCCTCTTGCTGTGCGCGTGCATTGTCTTTGTACGCTGGCGGAGCGGCAGTGCTGATGCAGACGCCGCAGCTGCGGACGCGTCCACCTCTGCCCGCGAAGACAGCGTCCGCCTCGAGGACAGCGCCCAACAAGGCGCAGGAGCCGCTGGAACCGGCACCACCACCGCCACCGCCACCGCCAGTGACACGACACGTGGCTGCTGCTCGAGCTTGACGGCCGCGCGGGTGCTAATCTCCACGCCGCTCCTGCGCGGCCTCACCGCCCACTCGCTTCTCATCACCTTCCTTGCCGCGGGCATCTGGTACGAGCGGGCAGCGGCCGTGGCTGTGGCCTTTGCCAGCGACGCGACGCGCTTCGACTTCTTCTCAACGCTGAATGCCGTGACCAGTGTCACGACGCTCGTCCTGCAAACGTGCCTCTTCTCTCGGTCGCTGCGCTTCCTCGGCGCCAGAGGGACCCTCCTTGCCGAGCCGCTTGTGGTGTCAGCGGGCCTCGCCGCGAGCATCATACGTCCTGGCCTGCTCTCGATCGCGCTCCTCGACGGCGGCAGGAAGGTCGTGCACTACGCAATCGTTAAGCCGACCAAAGAGAGCCTGTACACCGGCATGTCTCGCGACGCGCAGCTGCTCGCGAAGCCGCTGCTCGACACGTTCGTCTACCGACTCGGGTCGCTTCTTGGGGCAGCCTACTTCGCTGCCGCACTCGCTGGGGGCATGGGAGAGGACACGCGGCGGTACATCCTTCTGGCCGTGAGTGCGGTGTGGGGCTGCAACTCATGGTGGATAGGTAGCCTCGCCGACAAGGCGAACGAGTCGAGTGCGGCTGACCCGACCAAGAGCGGCGCTGCCGGTGGTGAGATGTCGCTCGAGCTCCGGCGCAAGTCCCTGCGGAGCGAGAGGGCAGCGCGCCGCTACGACGGGCTCGAAGATCCAGAGGGTGAGGTGGACCTGGCCGCGGAGGAGCCACCCGCCGCAAAGAAGCGTGCTCTCGGCTCCCGCGAGGCCACGGCGCTTGTGTGTGGCCTCATCAGCCTCCTCCTCGCCGTGGCACTGTTAAAGTCCGCACGTGCGCCAACGCCCTCACAAATGGTGCAGAATGGCACGAGCTACACCGGAATATGGTTGACGCCCCAACCTGCCGAACCACCACCACCGCCGGCGATCTTCCCCTCGTCGTTATTGCCGCCCCCACTACCACCAGGGAGGTGCTGATGCCGCCGGTCAGGCGGCCGAGGAGCAAAACCCGAAAGTAGCCCGTGCTCGGTGAGGCGGCTGCCCCCCCGTGCTTTGTGAGGCAGGACAGGATGTAGAGGGCTGCGTATCCCAGACAGCCTGCCCGCCGACCTGCCCGATCACAGAGCGAGCCTACGAGGGTCCCGAAGAGCATGGAGGAGGCGTAGCCGGCGATGAAGAGGTGTCCTATTTCTGCAATGGACCACCCGTAGTAGTCGTACAGCCTGTACACGTAAGGGCCCTAAACGCGACAGGGCCGGGCTGTTTTGGCTTGCTGCGGTTGTGGACAGCGCTCAGGGACCGGCTTTGCCTGAAGCCAGTCGCCGGCGATCATGAGGGCGTAGACGGTGAGATAATTCCGCTGGAACGCGGCGAATTTGGCGTCTGGCATGGCCGGGGGGCTGTGTGGCCCCGGCATGGCTGTGTGCGGGTGCGCATTGGCGCCGCGATGTTTTGCCGGTTCCACAGTGAGTCATGAGTACCACCTTCGTACACAATCATAATGAAATAGCCAATCAACGTCCCCATTCCATGAGCCATTCCGTCCCGTTGCTCACCAGGTAGGTCCTCACAACTGCCGCCGGCGCCGCGCCGGTCGCAGCCTCACTCGGCCCAGCTCCTGGCGCTGGCGCCTGCCCTCCGATTCGCGCGCTGTTGGACATGAATGCGGGAGACGAGATGAGGGCAGTGTCGCGCCGTTCCTGCGACGGTAGGGTCGCGGGAGAGGTGTGGCTTGAGCTATCACGCAGGCAGGCACACGGGGGCAGGAAGGATATCAGGTAGCGAGTTGGGGCAGGGAAGAGATCACCTCGCGATGGTACTGTCCCGGGCCGGGCGACGGCTCGGCCACGCGGGGCACTCGAGTCGCTCCAGGCAGTGGGACGCCGAAGCGATCAATCATCGAAGGGCGGATGTGGACCGCCGGAAGCGCCCGCTGCAGCGCGGGTGGGTCGGTCTGGTATTGGCCAGGGCCAGGGAGCCCCGACTGGGGGCGTGGCAAGATGCCCAGCTGCTGCTCGCGCGTGGCACGCGACGATGGAGCTTCCGTCGAGAGTGGAACTCTGGATCGGAAACTGACCGACGCGAGGTGTCCTCCTTCTGGCAGCCGACGCGGCTCGTACTGACCGGGCGCCGGAGTGGACTGCCTCGAGGTGGGCTGTGGTGGCGCAGCGCGGCGTTGCGCAAACCCCATTTGTTGGCGCGCCTCCGCCTTGGCGACGGCTGCCACGCGCGCCTCTGCTTTCAATCGCTCGTGCATTCGGATGGCAGACTGCCGTGCCTCGAGCGCATCGGGCGCCTGACGGCGGGCAGGAGAGCTGAACGAAGCGCGGGTATTGGGGCGCAGCCATAGGAACTGAGGTTGGCTTTGCGCGCCGAGTATGCGCCAGGACCTGGCTCCGGCTCATCCACAACCTCCACAGGCCGCTGTGACGGTGGCCTGAAGGACGATGTACCACCGCCGGCGGCGTAGCGCGAGCGCAGCTCGCGTGAGAAGGACCGCGGGTCCTCATAGGCACCTACGGCGGGGTGGGGTCTTGGAGAGGGTGGCTGGTGCGCATTGGAGGGTTGCTCTCTCCGAACCCGGAGCGGGCGTGTAGTTGCGCGGCACCAAGCTCTTGCGTTGCGTCTTGGACACAAAGCCGACACCGAGGCCTGAGGAAGAAGCTCAGTGGCCCTCATCGCTGGTGCTGCACGTTGACGGGTTGGGGTGCTGGACTGGGACGGACAACCTTTCTTCGAGTAGACGCGATCATCGCGGACAGCCGCGCGCGCGGATTCGTACGACCCTGGTCCGGGCAGGTCGTTTTCAACCTCGGTGAAGCGGTGTGCGCAAGAGCCAAAGCCCTTGCGCGCCCCCGTGTTTGGGCATAGCGTCGTCTCAAACTTGCTCGGAATCGATGCGGCAGCCGTCGGCGCACCAGTCCGCTGCCCCGTGAGCGGCCCGGAGCGCAGCTTCCCCCTCTTCTCCCTGCCGACCTGCCGAAACGAAGGCCGATCGGGTCTCATTGCAGCGCGACTCGTGCCTGGCGAGGCCGGCCGCCGGGCGTAACAGCTCGTCGCTCCGTTTTCTTATTCAGCTTTTATAGAGTTCCGAGAGAGTTTTCAGTGTGTGCACTTACGATCGATTAAGCTAAAGACACTCACAAGAGCAAAGACACACAGCCTGCCACACAAACAAACCCGAGTGAGCGCACGGCACTACGCTCTACCCACGAGGGATACCCATCACTGAGCCGACGATGCTACGGGTAGCCCCAGGGTGGTGCCCACCCCCATACCCTCTGGCACTTGCCTGCGCCCTGGCCGCGCATGCCGCGCACGCGCGCGCACGCGCGCGCACGCCCGCGCACGCCCGCGCACGCCCGCGCACGCCGCGCACGCCCGCGCACGCCCGCGCACGCGCGCGCACGTGTGCGCACGTGTGCGCACGTGTGCGCACGTGCGCGCACGCGGCACTACGCCGCACTACGCCGCACTACGCCGCACAGTGTGGCGCTGTGTGGCACTTCCGGCAGGTTGCTGTGAGAGAAGCATGTGTTACCCCCTACACAGCCTTTTACACACATTTAATCACCATCAAGACCCAAGAGCATCTCTCTGACCTCCTCTAGGTCACACCTGTCTGGGCATGACTTAGGGCCAGCTCGCGACCCCTTTTTCCGCCATGCAACAGTGGGTTCGTCCAAGTCCATGACTTCATCCCACCCATCAGCCGGGTAGAAGATACGCATCTGCTGGTCTGGAACTCCCGGCACAAGCTGCACGACAATGCCTGGTTGCCAAGTCCCGGTGTCATCAGTGTGGTCGTCCTCATCCCACCACACAACCTGGACATGCCAGCCGACGATGTTCTGCGCATCATTAGTTGTCTGCCGTAACCCGGCTGTCCCCAATACATAGCCAGCAGGCGTTTTGGCCTGCTGCTGCTGCCCCCCCTCCTGCTGCTGCTGCTGCTGCGTGCGGGAAGCGCGACCGCCAGCCGTGCCACCACCTGCAACACCCTGAAGCTGAGCATCCTCAGCAAGCCCCTCCTCGCCGTCCTCAAAGCCTGGAGTCTCACCAGGGCCGTCTCGCGATCTGGCAGTACGCACCTTGCTGCTGACTTCGAGCTGCCCTGCTCGCAAATCTGTGATGGCAAGCAAGCGCCCGCGGGAGCCTCTACCACGTGGGTCGCGGGGATTTGCTGCAGCATCGACAAAGCCTGCCCCTCCCCGGATGAAGTTGCCATAGGCGTGGCGAATGCGAGAGGATATGGCAGGGTCTTGCCTTTGCCGCATCCCGTGTGGCGGGAGGCGGTTGGTGATCAGATCAGAGATGTGAGGAGGGAAGCAGCTTGTATAACTGCTGCCGCTGCCCTGCTGAGAAGGCTGCGGTAAAGGCGCGCCGCCATCGCTGCCGCCATCCCCGTCACCACTGAGCTTTGCCTCCTCCTCCTTGTCCGCACCTTCGCCGCCGCCTCCGCCGCCTCCGCCGCCGCCGCCGCCCAGTCCGCTGCCGCTGCTGCCACCACCCAGCCCACCTCCGAGCTGCTGCGGAGGCTGTGCTTGTCCAGCCGCTGAAAGCGTGACAAGAAGGTGAAGGCACTTGTCCGGGGTCTGAAGGCCAGCATCCAATAGAGTGGTATTTTGGCATGGCCAACCATTCTCTCTCAGTCCAGTCGGCGATTGGATGTCATTCAGAACTCGGCGAGAAGCTTTATCAATTGCAACAACTGGGCAGGCAGCATTGACGTTAGCTCTGAAGTTGGCAGTTGGCAGTAGACCAGCAGCGCAGGCAACCGTGTGGACAACTGAGGACAACATGTCCCCATACTGATGCCGTGGTTGTGTGACAGTGATTGTCCTGCAGGGGGAGTACCATGCCAGATCAGCCACAATTGTGACATATGTGGCTGGCGTGATTGCCTGCTGCTGCTGCTGCTGCTGCTGCTGCTGCTGCTGCTGCTGCTGCTGCTGCTGCTGCTGCTGCTGCTGCTGCTGCTGCTGCTGCTGCTGCTGCTGCTGCTGCTGCTGCTGCTGCTGCTGCTGCTGCTGCTGCTGCTGCTGCTGCTGCTGCTGCTGCTGCTGCTGCTGCTGCTGCTGCTGCTGCTGCTGCTGCTGCTGCTGCTGCTGCTGCTGCTGCTGCTGCTGCTGCCCCCGCTGCTGCCCCCGCTGCTGGCTGCCCCCGCTGCTGCCCCCGCTGCTGCCCCCGCTGCTGCCCCAGCCCCCGCTGCTGCCCCGGCCCCCGCTGCTGCCCCAGCCCCCGCTGCTGCCCCGGCCCCCGCTGCTGCCCCAGCTGCCCCCCCCTAAACACCTCTTGATACAGTCTCTGCCACCATGCTGCGGCGGCCTGGGCGGCCTGAGGACAAGTCCAGGTGAATGCTGCTGCTGCTGCTGAGTAGGGGCCATCAAGAGACCAGGTGATGGAGCCTCCTCACTGAGCTTCTGCTGCAGCTCCTATGGCCAGACAATGAAGCAGTTAGCGGTGGATCATGTGCCGTTTATGGACATGGCTACTATGGACATGGCTACTAGCAGGCACCCTGGCAAAGTTGACAGCATGCCTCAGCACTTCTGTCCCTGGATGTGGGGATGGCTGTGCTTGGTAGTGCTCCAAGTTGAACTGTAGAAAAGGAAGCACCCCCTGTTCCTTAGTTAAACTTTATAGGAGTGCCGACGCGGCGCGCGAATAAATAGGAAACTGGGAACGGCGCGAGAGACAAACCTAGGAACGCGTAAGGTCAAAATACTACTGAGTAAACAAAAGCGTGCTTGTCGGAGGGGGGGTCGTGAAGGGTGAGGGCAGTCGAAGTTAATTACCTTAGTTAGTAAGGAAGGTGAAGAACAGTCAAGCTCATCTCTCTCTCTCTCTCTCTCAAAGCCCCCCCCCCCCTTGTCACCCCCCCCAGTCAGAAGAAAGTGAAAGATTTTTTACAAAACTCCCTCGCACAACCCTGGGCACGGGACTGTGGCGCACACACTGGCACTAACACAGGAAGAATTTCGAACACTGGCAAACTAGGGATGGGAAGAGGACAGAGTCCCCACCTTGCTCCTTGCGGAACAAGCAAGCAAGCAAGGGTCTTGGGAGGATGCCATTCGGGGGGAAGGGGTGCGGGGCACACAGCGCGACACGGAGAGGGGGTGGGCAGGATCACCCACACAGGATCACCGAGCGCTGCAAATTCTTTTGGAGAGAGGCTTGTATCTTAAGAATTCTTTTGGATCCGTTCTTTACGCGAAAATTCTTTGGGGGGCCTTGAGAGGTGACCTGGCTGGCCGGTCCGCCGCTCTCCACGCGCTGCTTGTGCGCAGCGTGCGCCGTTCTGCACTCGGGCACACCACCGCTCCACTCTCCGCTCTCCTCCAGCCGCACAGAGCCCAACCAGACCCGACGGTCGGCGTTGAGCGTCGTTGAGCAGTGCCACGAGAGGCAGCAGCGTCTCGCCCGTGTGCCACAGCCGCGTGTGAGTTGCGATGGGAGCCAGCTAGCCTCCCGACCGGCCTCCCGCGCACACTCGCACTTGGCAGCCTCGAGCCTCACCGCGCCCGCTGCACACTGCCTCAGGCACCTTGGCTCCCGCCACCACGCCGCCGCTCCAGTGCTCCTGCCACTGCCGCAGCCCTCCGCGTCGCGTTTCCGCCACCCTTTGACCGAGGCCGTGCGCTAGGCAGGCGTGCAGCTACAGGTGCGCGGCGGCGCGCGGCGCACCACCGCCGCGCTCTCACTCCTCATCCCGGCCAGCTCTCCCCTCTTTCCGTCCCGCTGCTCCCCCGTCACCTCGCGATATCTCCCTCCCTCCCTCCCTCCCTCTCTCGGAGCCTCTCGGCAGGCCTCTGTCCCTCCGCCCCCCCCCTTCCTCCGCCGACCGCGCACCGCGCCATCCCCGCCGCCGTCGGCCTCACACCAGGTCTCATCGGCGCTCTCTGCCGTAGGTTGCGCGCCGCTGCAGGGCGGGCTGCGCGGCTCGTCGCTCGTGCGTCAGGCGCGGCCGCGGCCGCGGCGCTCTCGCCTCTGCTGAGGCGCGCTATCTGCTCGCCTCGCCGCTCTCCCCCCTCTCTCGCATCTCTCTCCGCACACTTCCCATTCGCGCCACGCCGCGGCGTCGCCACCGCACCGCCCTCTCTCGCCCTCACTGCGCGCTCCTCACCTCGCGATATCTCCCTCCCTCCCTCCCTCCCTCTCTCGGAGCCTCTCGGCAGGCCTCTGTCCCTCCGCCCCCCCCCGTTCCTCCGCCGACCGCGCACCGCGCCATCCCCGCCGCCGTCGGCCTCACACCAGGTCTCATCGGCGCTCTCTGCCGTAGGTTGCGCGCCGCTGCAGGGCGGGCTGCGCGGCTCGTCGCTCGTGGGTGAGGCGCGGCCGCGGCGCTCTCGCTTCTGCTGAGGCGCGCTAGCTGCTCGCCTCGCCGCTCTCCCCCCTCTGTCGCACCTCTCTCCGCACTCCTCGGCGGCAGCCCCGCAGGCTCGGGTCGCTGCAACCTCGAGTCGGGTTGGAGCGGATGGGCGGCGCGGGGGCCAGCGTCGGCGGCGCCGCCCCGCCGCCGCCTCGACTCCTCCTCCTCCTCCGTCGCTGTCTACATCTTTCGACGGCATGCGCCGCCTCGCAGGGCGCGTCCAGAGCAGCTCGGGCGGCGCTGCTGCGGCGGGGGCGGATGGCGCGGTCGCCGCGCCGCTCATCGGTGAGCCGGCGCTCCCGCGCGGCGCTCCGGCGGCCGGCGGCGTGTTTCGCCGCTGCGGAGGGCGTTGTCGTCGCGAGGGGCGGGCCCACGGCGGCGGAGGCGCTGCGCTGACGGCCGCTGACGGCGGCGGTGAGGGCCCAAGCGCCGGCCGAAGAAGCGTTGCCGCGATTGCCGTGGCGTGCCGCCTGGCGGGCCCGGCGAGCGGTCCCCGCCGGTCGGGGCTGCCAGCGCTGCACGGTGCGAGCCGCAAATCCCGCCCCCCGCCACCTCTCGCCCCTCCCCCAGCCCTCTCCCTCGGCCCCGCCTCTCGCCCCGCCCGGGACTCTCCCCACGCCGCCTCTCCGCCACCCGCCAGCCATCCCCGCCCCCGCCACCCTGGCCCCAGCGCGCACGCACCCGCACGCGTCCCTGCCGCAGACTGGCGCGGCGACAAGGTGATCGAGGCTGAGCATATGCACTGGAGGCGACGGCCTCGACTTGCGCGCGATCGGCGCCTCGCTCCTCTCGGCTCGGCAACTATACGCGGCGCGCCAGCGTCGGCCTGGTCAAGGCTGCCCCGCACACACCCCTCTCGCCGTCGCCTCCTCCCTCCTTCCCGCGACCTCGGACTAGGAACAGCTGCGGATCGAGCAGGCGGAGCCGGCCGCGGTTCGATCGAACAGCTTTCTTGATAGATGACGTCTTGCTCTCGAACTTGGTTTGCTGTCCGCGGCGTCACTTCCCTCGACGCAGCGTCGCGGCGGGAGTGGAGCACAGCTTCACTAGCGAGTACGACGTGCGCTACCTGTCTGTACCTATACGGAGATGGGCCCTCCCACCGCGGCTGCGCTGAAGAAGCTTTTCCTCGCCGACCCCGTCTCCTTTCATTTCCTTTTTTCTCTACAGAA